TATATATATATATATATATATATATATATATATTTGCATGCATATATACTCCTCACTCAATCTATTTATCTATTTAAATCATGTAACTATGCATCAATGCATTCAAGCACTGATGCATCCATCTATTTATCTTACTCTCAACTAAGCAATTACTGAATCATTGAAACAATCTAATCTATGTGTGTGTTCTAATTTATATCTTTGAAAATAAAAAACAAACAAGAAAACGGTGAAGGTGAAAAAAAAATTTGTTAAAAAAATGATCAAATGAATGACGAGATTAATATTTGCAATAAATTTCAACCAGAATGCTACTATCATCATCATTCATGCATACATATCTAAAGATCGACAAGAAAAGAGAAACGATGTAGATAGAATAACGTTCGTTTATATTAGTTATAATAGTTATTAAGTGAATTTTATAATTAGTTTTAAAAAGAAAATCAAAATTTTTTACATTTAATAATTACTTAGTCAATTATACGATTTATTGCAGTTCTCTTGAAATAATTTTAGATAATTTTTGATATTTTTTCGATTACTTTTTATTACTCTATGAATAGATGGATTCTTAATCTAATAATAACTTATTCTATATGTTAGTTATTTTGATTTAATATTTTCTTACAACAACAATAAGAGAAAGACATATCTAAGTATATATCATGAATAAAATTATGTTCGTTTATTGCTTTCGAATCTAGAGTGATATTTGAAAGAAGCAACAAGTAGCAATGCTTGTTTACTGGTATGCAAATTTACATGCTATAAAGTACAATAATGACTGTCATAAGTGTGCAAGTTATTAAAATGCAAATTGATTCTGTACTAGGGATTAACATATGTGATCATTCAAATAATTATGTGTGAAAAATAAATGCAAGAATAATTCAATCAACTTTTCAGAGATTTGCATAACAGTTTAAAATTATAATAGCGTCAAAAATTTGATTTAATGATGTAGAAGATGAAATTTTGATATGTTTTTCGTTATTTACTTCACTTTTTTTCCGAAAAAAAATTTAGCTCAGATAAAGTGATCTTTATTGATTCATTGTGCAAATTACATGAGAAACCCTGAAGAAAAATTAAAGGAATTATTGATGAAAAAAAAAATTTTTGGATTTATTAAATTTAAATTGATTAATACATTTTTACGCAATATTTTAGAAACAGAGCCTAAATTTATTGCATTGAATCACATAGGTCAAATAATGCTTTTTAATTTGTATACAAAGCATTCATTTTAGAAATAGTACAATCATTTAGTGATTTCTTCGTAAATTACAGAGTAAAATAAGCATTTAAGCAATACATAATTATGAATTGAAAATATAGATTGCATCCTAAAATAAATTTTGGTGCTTGTATTACAGAGCGAGATAAACTCATAAGATTAATAACATATCAGTGAGAAGGCTTTTTTTATAATATTTATTATTTCAGACCTCTAGTCAAGCCTTAAAAACCTACATGAAGTGTTTTTCAGTTAGCTTCTAGTAAATGGACATCGTATTCAATTCAATTACAATTATTTTTTGTATACTTCCCCGAAAAAAAAAATAGTAAAAATTTAATTGATCAAAATTTTAATGATTATGATTAATATATACATTGTTCATTAATTCAATGTCAAAGGATATTTTTTTGTGAGTGATCTTTAGTAAATCAAATTAATTGACTTGATAAAAAGATAAAATTGATAAGCTGAAAAAGACATCACATAGAGCTGTTTTTATTTTACAGATAACTTTTTTAAAAGCTATCTACATTTAACGCAAAAATTTTTTGCCACTGTTGATCAGAAAGTTATAGTTGTATCTATTCTAATCCATTAGACGGTCAAAAATAATCAGTAATGACCTTATTTTTTAAACAAATACCAAAAAGCTTTACATAAAGAACGCTTATCATGAGAAATTATTAAAAATTATGGTTGAATACTATTTAATATAATTACAAGAGATAACAGGTTTGATGATTAAATATTGTGATAAAACTCGAGCTATACTTCCACTGCATTACTACTTTCTGAGTGATCAAAGTTAATTCCTCGCAAACTTTTTGTGCTTAATAAATTTTTAGGCGAAATAATCTTAGCGTATTGTAGTGTATTAATGCACTTCGTTGTTAAATCATTAGATAATAATTTTTTTCTACCAAATCGGTTGAGAATTGGTTATAATCCATTTAATACTTTTTCCTCCAGAAACAGAAAATACAACACACCACAAATTATTTATTAAATAACGTAAATTGCACTCAAAATGCACATTCCACGTAAGAAACTAAGCGTAAGAACTCAACTGATAAATTAATACATTTATCAATTAAGAAAGTTTTCAGAGAGCCAAGGAAAAAATTTTTTTCAGTATATAAATGCATTAACAGCTTTAGCGAAGTTTAAATTAATAATCATATTTTCAGTTACTCTTCTTAATGCATCAGTAATTCATGATACGCAAGAATCCAAAAAACTATCCATTTACTTTTAATTTTTTACGCAAAATATGCATTTCTATTGCAATTTACGTTATATGTAAGTATTACTGTAAGTGCTCGGAGTATAACAAAAAAGTTTATCAGAATTAAATGATTAATAACCATTTGAAACTATGTTTCTTGACTTCGGTATACAAAACAGGGAATGATATAATCAACAAAAAATTAATAATAAAACAAAGAGATTAATTTTGGACGCATCAAACATCAATAACATATGAGTATCTATTTCAACTTTTACATTTTAATGTATTTATTAAAAATGCTTAATTACAGGCTTATCATATTTGCAGGTATTTGAAATAAACAGCAATCAAGTAATAAATTATGGTATAAATTAAACATTTCGTTTCAAACTAATCTGAAAAGAACAATTTTTGAGCTAATTAATTGCAAAAAACAAAACCAATTGTTTGATGAACTTTGAGATTATCAAATAATTGTAACTATAATAATATCATGACTATTTATTATTTAGAATGCTACTTAATGGATTTTTCGGGATTTTTTTGAAATACTTGATAATTTTTTGAAAATCGATTACAATATATTTAAAATCGGTTTCTGAAACCTATGTGCAAGAGAAAAGAAAGCAATAAATAAGAGCAAGAGATAAAATGAAATGAACTGACTAACTGACCATGAAACACGTACATTGCAAGTGCTGAATATAATATTTTGAAAATCTTATATGACATATTGTATACATATATATATGCGATAATGTGGTTTGTTTATTAATTAAGGAATAAATGATTTAATTAAATATTCAAAATCAAATGTAAGATTAATTGTAATTATTTTTCATGGAGCTGATAAAAACGGTATCGTTGGCACGCATGGTAAAACTGGTGCAAAATGAAACGGCATCGGATTTACCAGTTGATGATGATAATTTGAAGGTAAAAAGTGTAGATCAATGTTATCGACCGGTGAAACAAATCTGAAAAGTTTTATAAATACTAACTAATTAAATTCTATATTAGTTAATTGTTTTGTTTAATTAATATAAAGATAGCCTCAATGAGTTTGATTTTTCAATTTATTTGTTCATAATATATTTTGATAAATTATTTTTCCATACTTATTAATTATTACTATTTTGTAATTATTAACACAGAAAGACGAAAAATTTATGAAAATTTTGACAAAATCATATAAAAATCGTATAAAGCTGCTTTTCAAACATTTCATTAATATTTTTTTTTGTCTGGAATTAACACAAATAATTGACAAAAATGTGTTCTTTTTTATTATAAAAAGTTTTTTTGCATTCAGTAATAATAGTTATCGGTGATTGATATTGACCATAAATGTTAAAAAATTGACAAGTTAATATTTTTAGAATATACATCGGTGTAGGAGTGGTAGCGGTAGCGGTAGGCAATATGGGTGTTGGCTGAATAATAACTGGAACAGGCAATTGAGGCTTTACTATTTGTGGTTTTATAATAACTGGCATATATGGTGGGACACGTACTGGTTCATTTTTCTTTTGTAAACTATTAATTGATGTGAAAAATTTTTCTGAAAAAGAAAGTTATGAAAATAAAAAATTTATGCAAATTTATTAAATTATATTATTTAAAAAATTTATACAAATTTATTAAATTATATTATTAATGAAAATTCAAAATATGATATCACTTTTATCATTTATAAGTTTATCTTTTTTTGCATAACAATTATAATAAACCTGATCCAAGGGTAGTTGCATTTGATTGTTCCTGTATTAAATTGTTCGATGTAGCAGCTTTCAGCTGAGCTTTACGTTGTTTTTGTTGATCACGTCGTAATTTAATTTGACGTGCCATTAAGGTTCGTCGATTTTCAACCAAACCACACTACAAAATTAATCGTTAGCAATTAAATATTAAGAATTGCAATAATTATATAGAATCAATTAAATATGAACAACAAAATATAACTGATAAAATTGAAACTCTCAATCATTATTTTAATGAATGAAATTGGTGAAGCATTTTTTCACATTTCAAATTTGCAAATTTTAAACTCAATTTATTTACTATATTAATACAGTCGTGCATCAATTTAATAAGCAATTATCAAGCATAGATGCAATCTTTTTCTATTCAAGTTTAGAAGTTTCTGCAAAATTTCGGATTCAGTGACTTAATAGCATCAATTGAAATTCAAATGTAAAGGAAGCAAATAAAGCCAGTGATGGCTATTAGAATATTGAATTGGAAAATAAACGCAGTTTAGCGTTGTACTGTAAAAATTATGTTTGTGGTTGAAATAAGATATATTTTAAGAGCAAAAACAGCTGGCTGATATTCTCAAGGCAATTTGGTTTTTTTAATCACTTTTTATATATTTGAATATCAGCAAATAATATGAAAAAATTTTAAATTCACAGAATTTAACAAAAGTTTACAAACTTACTAAATGACAACCACATTTCAAAAATGGACATTGAGCTTTTTTATGACCTCTAAGTGGTTGTTTATTACCATGAGCAGAACACAAAGCACATTTGGGATCTCGAATTTTTTTGCCAGTATTTGAACGATCTGATCCCTGATTACTTGAATCTAATCTTCGCAAACTTAACATATTATTTAGACGTCGTCGTTCTTCCACCATTCGACAATCGGCACATTCACAATTAGCATATCTTGATATAAAATTTTACATTCTTACTTATTATTATTATACGAATATTTATTTAATGACAAGGCAAAAATTTTACGTAATACAAAATTTGATAACAAAATATGCATAAAAATTTGTTGTTATTAACATAAAAACTAAAACGTTATATAATCTAAATGAATAATGTTTTTATCAACTCAAAAAGTGCCTATCCTTGAAAATTTCCATTTTGTAACTCATCATTTTTTAAATCAAAGTACTGATAAAATAATTTGATAAAAATATTGTACATAAAGATTGTTTATTTTTTTCCTTCAAGTAACTTTGAGCAGATAACAAATTTGAAAACAAAATTAAAATTTATTTATGGCAATTGTATTGGATGCAAAAATATGAGAGCGAAAATAGGAAAAAAAAATCATTATAATGGGTTTGAAGATAAACTTAATAATATGTTTAAAGCAAAGTTGAAAGAATGAAATTTGAGAAAATGAAAAAATCTTTAAATTTTGCTTGAATAAAAAAATTAACTTATGACTCATTTTTCAGCTTTAGATATTTTATGATTATCCTTTACAATTAGCTAATTAATATTTGTAATAATAATTATTATTGCTCACATCAATATAATAATTATTTTTGTATTTAATTGTTATAACGTACTGGCAAAATGGTTTATGTCCTTTACGAGGATGTTCTTGTGCATGATTTAAGCATCGTTGACAAAAATATCTTTTTTGATCATCATCGGTGACCCGTTGTTGCGGGCAAGGTGTGCATGCAACAACATCAACTTCTGGTGTACTGCATGACGAATAGCCACCAAATGCACTGTTCCCACTACTTCCTGGTGATGCACCTGGTATCTTCCATTAGTTATTATATTTATAGTCAACTTTCTATACTATATCTCAAGCTTTTTCTGCTTTTTGATTTTTAAATTTGATATATAAAAAGTTATTCACGGAGTATTAAACCTTAAAATTCAAACATATAGTATATATAATATAGCATAAATTTTAATCTTTAGATATAATATCTAAAATAATAATGAGCTGAATAATACATGCAAGGCAAAAAAAGTATAACTATATAAAAAGTCCATTTATACAGTTTGAAGCTTCTAACTAAGAGTATGAAAAAAATAGACATTACTTGTATTTTTATTAACTAGACTATTCATTATATCTATCAGTCATATTTTTTAAACCATATATTTATATAAGTTTTTGTTTTTTGGATCATTTTGTCGAGTCGAATTATTTTGAACTTAAATATCAAATTATCTTATTAGTTTTTATCCAAACACTACTTTGTGCTTTTAAATTAAAAAAGCTGTTCAGCTGTAATTAATTTTCAATATTAAATTTTGACATGATAAAACAAAAAGTTTGTTCACTAAACTTTCATTTTTCTGTTGTGCAAATTTATACGTATAAAATTACTGAATAACTTTGTCAAATTTACTACCAAAAATTATTTCTTCTATAAGAGACTAATATACATTGCAGTTTGTTTGGCTGTTATTATTTTTGCAAATAATTTTAATTGAAAATTTCTGTCAATTTGATCAAAATTTTCAGATTTCAAACAGTAAAGAATGAAAGCTACCCAACGATAAATTTCTTAGTATTCAAATATAAAATAAACAAATAATAAATTTATACAATTTTTTGCAGATTTTGTTTGAATAACCTTTTGCAATGCGATTAATTGTCACTTTATTAATGAAGTATATATAATTATATATTGGGTAAATTATATATTAGATTATTATTTATTTATTTTTTTGAGTTTTGGTTGAAAAAAATGCACGACTAATAAATGTATTTTTGATAATTTACTGCAAAACTTCAATGCTATAAAATTATTTGAAACTTATTTTACAAAACGTTTTTGAAATAATAATAATTTGATGTTGAGATGCTTGAGATTTCACTTAACTTTTTTCATTATTGCTAAATTTTTCATCTGTTTTAATATAAAATATTCAAGTAAATTTTCAAATACAAACGTATTAATTGTTCATAAATAATAACTTTTAGCTAAAGCTAAGTAATTAATTACATAATATGGTATTTCAGTTGCAAAAATTGAAAGTACTGGTTGATATTATCGAGTATTTGAAATAAAATTGAAAATCAAATGCATCAAAATAAGTTTTAGTCTCATCAACATTCAAATCGTCATATCATATTTTGATCTAAACAATGATTAAATATTTTATTTGTGTAAAACATTTTAAATGCTGAAAAAATTCTATTATCACTTTGCAAAGTTTTAGAATATTTTGCAATAATCCTGATTGAAACAACGATTAAATCTGGCTTCAGTGTAAACAGTGAATTATAAACAAGGAATAAAAATACTAAATAATTTCTTATTTGCTTCAAAAATTTTTAAATTATAAGAAATTTTTTTTATTCTAAACATTTTCCAAACTTTTAAAATATAATCCAAAAAAATGCATAATTATGCAAATATTATAATTATTACTAAAATAAAGTTTCGAATTTTTAAAATGATTAAATAATACTAAAATTGCAACAAAGTAAGTGATTAAAATTTATTATAAAATTTTTGCTAATTTTTAGATCAATTTTCTACTGTATTAATAAATAACTAATGTATGATTGAGGATAGACTTGAAAAATAAAAAAGAAAATTAAAATGAGCATGAATAGCATGTACGAAGTTTAGATTCTTTTAATGCTGGCTATAATTCTAAATTTAAATATATAGCAAACATTGATAATAATTGAATTTGTAATTCAAAAAAAAAAAAATTTTGTGCAGAATTTAATTACAATTTTGCTTAGTTAACTTATTTCAGTCAAGGGTAATTACAATTTTATAGACTTTATTGTTATGCATTCAACTCAATAACTTAAACTTCTTTTAGCTTACTTTTTTCAAATTTATTCTCTAACATACTTACTTATCAACATTTTTTGCTTCACTCAAGCTTGAAAAAAGTAAGTAAGTAAGTAAGTATGAATGAATGAATGAATGAATGAATTACTGTTTCACTCACTGATATCAATCATTTAAACTATAATTATTGAAGTGAAAAAAAGAATACATTTTAGAATATATTTTATTTTATTCCAACTAACTTTGATTATTTTCTTTTCCATCCATGAATGACGTTGATTGCAATGATGATAGTTTCTTCTGTTTTTTTTTCTTCAATAATAACTATCCCATTGATACATTTCTTGTTGCGGAAGTGGAAAATTTTTATGTGAAATTAAATTTCGATACAGTACTCGTTAGATTCATTGAAATAAAAATATCAGTAATTAATAATGCGCGAGTATTTTGACTTGCTAAAAAGATAAAAAATAAAATTAAAAGAAATAGTTTAAAAAATATCAGTAAAATATAGAAAAAATATATATCTTTGATATAAGTAACAATATTTGAATTTATATTGCATTAATTATATCAATTTTTAATTGCTTTAAATATAAAAATGGATAATTATAGCAGTAAAAATGTGATATATAGTTTTAATAACAATTAATTATAACAATATTGAAAATAGTATAATTGTTAGCAGCAGTATTGATGAAAACAAAGTAATCAAAATAATGATAATAATAGTGGGATGGATGGATGATAAGTTTTAGCAATAGATGAAAAGTAAAACAACAGCAGAAACTAAACAGTAATAATGATAGTAATAATAATGTTAATAATAATAGTGATAATGTTAATAGTATCAAAATCAGTTCCATTAACAAGGACAGCACCGCCTCATTATCAGGCAGAAAATTGGAACAGCAATTTTGCACCATACGTGTTTTTGTGATCTAATTTTTTAACTAATAGCTTGCAGCATTCATCTTTTAAGATTCACTTAATATCTGTGATGCAAGTATGCACAACAAACATGTACTATATGATTATAGTTACTTGTAATCATTAAATTATAATCAATTAGTTTTTTTTTTTTGCTTAATAAATTGCAATTTTCGATTAAATTATCATACATAATGTAGCAAATTTTTAAAAATAAATCTTATAAACATCCAAAAATTAACAGAAAAAAAAATGAAATATAGAAACATAAATGAATGGTACATTTAGTTTTATTTTTTCAACATATTACGTCAGAAATTTTTTAACGCCTTTTT